TTCATTCATTAGGCCCCAGGCATGTCTGTCATAACGGAAGGTCCCCTTCTTCCTTTATGTAGGCCTGTTTTGTCAAAGATCCAGTTACAACTGGTTATATTAAGCATAGGTAACCTGTGTCCCTCCCAAATGGTGGACTGTAACATCCATCATTCCTGACTAAAGGCCTTGCCGGCTAGGACTAAACACAGTTTAGCAATCTAGATTGTCTAAGCAGCCACAAGTTGCCCATTCCTGGTTTCTGCTTATAACTTTGTCTGTAGAGGAAGCCTAAGCAACTATATTATTTTTGACATCTGTAGCTCAGAACTAAAACAGAAAGTCTTAGAAAACTCTTGGCTGCTACTTTACATTCTAGAATTTGGAAGAATATGTGGGAGCCACCTTGAATGCTCCAATTGTTGAATGTAGCAGCACTCCGCTGTTTAAAGGGGAAAATATTGCTATTTCCAAATTGTTCAAAATCCAAATGAAAGTCATGCAATTCTCCTAGCCTCTCAAATAAGCTCATGTGTGTGTGGACTATAGCTAAAGGAAATGATTTGAAACTTCCCCCACAGCAGTGCTATATTCTGGTACATTTACCTTCCCCCGGTTACACTTTTACAGTAAGGAATGGTCTTGTTCGACAGGAGCCAATTTGGAAAGTTCTATCTGGTTGAGTTTTTATAAGCAAGGATATATATATATATATATATATATATATATATATATATAATAAAATGCTTCTGAAAAAGTAAGTGAATGAAGTATGGTGAGCATTGCAGAATGTGGGGGAAGACTCATTATTTTCGAAACGGTGCTCCATGTAGTCATGCCGGCCACATGACCTTGGAGGCATCTATGGACAACACTGGCTCTTCAGCTTAGAAATTGAGATGAGCACCACCGTCCAGAGTTGGACATGACTGGACTTAATGTCAAGGAGAAACCTTTACTTTTTTTATACAAGGTCCAATTTAGGAATGGAATTAGTGCTGACTTTTGTAATCTTCTGTATTGGTCAACATTGGAAACACAATGAGAAACAAAATGCACAAATTCAGGACAATGGAACATTAACATGTACCTTTTGGCATGAGGAGATATGTATCTTTAGTTTTAACATTTTAAATGTTGACATTCGTAAAACTGGCTTGCTTATTTTGTGGTCCTCCCACATACATGGCAAGTGCCTTTAAAATTTCCAATGATGTTATAATTTAAAACCAAATGCAAAAACCAACACCCTAACTCGTATTATGACTTTATATTTTTGCTTCCACAGTTAATAGCCGTTTTTGATATAGCCATTTACCTCTACAGAGAGAAAGCATGAAACTGTCCTGAACAGTCATGGCCTTGATCCTAATCATCCCCAACTCTGAGCTTAGTTTCCAAAAAAGAAATTATGTCAGTACAAGTCATATCACTGATTTCCCAAATGACATTTATTTCAACTGTTAAGTCAGATCCCCCCCCCCCAATTTGGAGATTATTCCACATAGATACGTTGGTTTCTTTAAGCTTTGTATTTTTTATTTTATTCTACCTCTATGTTCTATTAAATTATAATACAGTTGGCTCTCCATATTTGTGGAATTTTGTTGTTGTTGTTGCAGATATCTTATTAATCTAGTCCTTTTAGGGAATCTCTAGGTCAGGGGTAGGGAACCTTTGGCCCTCCAGCTGTGGTGGACTTCAACTCCCACAATTCCTTGAGGCTCGGCATTCGCCCCAAAGGCTTACCTTGGCCCAATGCCGAGCCTCAAGGAATTGTGGGAGTTGAAGTCCACCACAGCTGGAGGGCCAAAGGTTCCCTACCCCTGCTCTAGGTCCTTCAGTGTGACTGATGATGGCCAACATCAAACCACCCAGAGATTCCTTGAAAAGAGATATGCTCTCTGATTTAAAAAAAATGGTTTAACCAGTTTCACAAGGGTCTTGTGATCCCAGAACATGTGGAGAGCTGAGCTGATTGTATTCATGTTTCCAGATTGTCATGAATGTGGTATGAGTTTTGATTCATGCATCTTTGGTTGAGAACCTTCCCTTTTGTTTTTCTTGCAAGTTTTTTAAATTTTATATCCTGCCTTTCTTGAAGAGGCGAAATAGACATACTTGTAACCTGCCGTTCAAAAGCAATGTCACTTGCTATAGTTTTTCAAAGCACTTTTAACCATACTTTAGAAGGAAAGAGTGGCATTATGCATTTGATGGGACTTTAACATTACCATTATTTATTCTAAATTCTCTCTTTCATTAGCCCCTAAACGGCATTCAGACTTGAGTGTTAGAGTGAATATGGTAGACATAGAGTATGCTTTCTTCTATCCCAGATCAATACATTTGGCTTTAATTAACTACTCATATGAAGTTGCTTCCTGTGCGCTAAACCAGAGGATAATACAGATACATAACCAAGTCCAGCACTCTTTCTTTAGCAACCACTTCCCTTGCCCCAGGTGTGCATCAAAGAAACAGGCTGAAGGCAAGTGACCAGATCAGAGATGGGAAGTAACGTGGAAGAATGCAACTAGCCTCTTCCTGGGTCAGGAAATGCCTTGGGCTGTTAAAGAGGCAAAGCTGCTAGGCCACAAGCCATGACTGTGACATGATTTCCCTATGAACAATCAGGAAATATGTTTAAGGTGATGACGGCAGTGATTAACTTCATTCATGCCCCATGTTTTCCCCAGTACTGAGAGATAGACAGTTTGAGGATGCATCTATACTGTAAAATTAATGCAGGTTAACACCTTAACTGTCATGGCTCAATGCTATGGAATTGTGGGAATTGTAGTTATAAAAGGTCTTCCCTACCAAATAGTGCTGATGCCTCACCAAACCACAGTTCCCAGGATTCTATAGCCATGGTAGTTAAAGTGATGTGGAACTGCAGTCATTCTTCACTTCACTTAGGCGATCCC